AGTCTTGATTATTTAGGTCCAATCCATTTAAGCCCAATTTGAAAACCCCTACAGTCCAAATGTCGGCCCAACTATTTGGCCCATTTAAGCTTCTAGGGATTTGTGCCCTAATATGTTACTGTTCATATAACCCCATTTCCCTCCACTCCTCACATTCACACAGCCAAACCACTGGGTAAGAAACTCTCCCTCAAATTTTGCCTCAATACAGTTTCACATTGGAAACTCTCGATGATGCTAGCACATCCATTTCCAGCATCATCAACATGATGATTCCACATCCCAAACCTCAACCCCGAAACCCCATTTTCGAACCACTACAGCCCCCAGCCTCAACCCGGAACCACCATTTCGAATCACCACATCAACAGTCCAAACTATCACTCACGAGACCAATACACACAAACAGCAACCATTCGAACCACCAAATGCAAAAAGCGCACAACCCGCAGCTACCACCCACTCGACAACCACCTGCAACGCCAACTACAACCCCGACACCAAACAGCCCCTATTTCATAAAAAATCGACAGCCCTATTTCACCCAAATTCCACCTCAAACAACTCCAAGAAACAAGAGGACCAAGAACTTACCTCATACCCCAACCTTGTTAGCTTGATTTCCACCAAGAGTTTGAACCCCACAGCCTCCCACGAAGCACCGGCGCCACCATGCGACGGTGGCGTCGACGCCGGCCTGCTGACCGACGGTTATTGCCGTCGGTGGCCCCATCTTCTCCCTTCTCTCTGTCAAAATGAGAGAGAAAGGGAGTGAGAGATGATTTTAATTTATTTTGATTTTTAAAAATTATTCCCTAGCCCCCCAAGTTTTAAAAGTGTTTATTTAGGTCCCTAGAGCTTCTGTTTTTAAAGAAATCAGCCCTATGTTTTAGGTATTTTAATTTCAGTCCCTAAAGTTTATGTTTTCTCACAATTAGTCCCTACTTTCTGCAAAAGTTTAATTTCAGTCATCAAACTTTTATTTTTAGTTTCAATAATTTCCAATTAAGTCCCTAATTATTTTCAGCCCTTAGATTTGTTAAATTCAGTTTTAATAAATATTCAATTAGGTCCCTAAACTTTATTTTATCGTTTTAAAACTTTAAATTTTGGAATATTAATTCAAAACCTAATTTCTATTTTGACTAGACGAAACGTACGGACGAGTAGGAGATTGAGGTTACGTCTCGCTCCACTTTTATGACTCGAGATATTTGAGGTAGACTCGCCACCATTAATTAGTTTAAATTATAATTGCATGTATTATATGAATTTATGTGATTTATATGCTTTGATGCATGAGATGAGAATATGTCATATGAGATATATGATGTTGTTATGCTTGCCATAACTTATATGTTTTATTGCATGAGAAGAAGACGAGTATCTCTTATGAGATAAGATGAGAATGTTATGCATAACTTATGTGCTTAAATGCACGGACGAGACTACCCACACCCTATGCTTTTAAAGAGCCTATGATTTTCAAGAAAATGAGCCTATGATGATGATGTCACGATATGAATTGCATGATTACGTGTTCAATTATTCTGTAAATTAATTATCGGCGATAAGTCTATTGAGTATTTTATCGAAATACTCATTCTGTTATTTTAACAATATTTGCAGATTTCGAAGACGGTCGAGTGTGATGGGCAGTGGTGGCATAAATTAATAGTCGAAGTTATTTACGTTTGAAATTTACGCATTTTGAACTTATTTTGTTGTTCCTATTATTTCAAATTTGAAATCTGAAGTTTAAACGATTTTCCTTAAGTAATCAAATGAATTTTATTGTCGACGAGGTTTTACCGTTATAAATGCGATGTTTTAAAATTTAGTTATCTTCCGCAAACCTTTTAATTAAATCAGTTACAAAAGACGATGACGTGGAAATCCGAATTCACGAAACTCGGGGCGTTACACCACGAGGATTTGAATTATAAAGAATTGGGTAAGCCATAACATTGTTTACACTTTTTCTCCGGAGTCGTTCATTACCAGTATTTTGAGTCCAATTTCTTTTGTTGGGTTATTTCTTATCCAAATAGGATATGAAAAATGAATTAAAATATATAACAACTAATAGTGTAAAGTGCAATAATTCATAAACCAATAACTGTTGATTGAGCATTCAATTTCTGCAAAGTTCTTACAAGAATTTATGATGGCCAGTTGCATTCGATATTATATCAATAAAAACAATTTCTTGATTCTCACTGACACGTTTGTACTTAATCCAATGTTTGGTCCCTATTTACTAAAATTCATTTTCAATCACATGATTTATGCAATTCACAATTTTTATCGACTTTTTAACCACATATTTCAAATCAGATTTTTAGCTAAACCAAACAAGAGATTAATAATTACTTATATTCACACCAAACTATTTAAGAGCTTAATAATTACTTATATTCACATCAATAAAAATATTGAACTAATTATTCACTTGAAAGACTCAAATACTATATCACACAATCATAGAAAAAAAATTGCCAGATTTAAAAGTTGGAACACAATCGAATCAATCAATCCTTTTGCACTCTCAAATTGTCATAGATCATTTCTAAACCTTACATAATCGACCTCAAATTCATTGTTAATAAAACTTACAATACCCGACTAGTTTTTCACTTAGAAAGATTCGAGGCACAATACAACCAAATGTAGCTAGAGTTGACCATCATCTTTATTGGGGATCAAATCTACTCTCGAGACTTACGGTATCATGTCAACAGAAACCTTAGATTGTGTTTCCTGATCAGTCATCTCCAAGGCCAAACACTCTTTCAATTCCACCACAACATAAGTCATGTTTGGCCTTCTAACTGAATTGCGAGAAACACAATCCATTGCCAGTTCTACGAATTTCCACACAGATGACACGGCAAATTCTCCTTGTAACTTTGGATCAACTATACTTTGGATATCTCCTCCGGGAAGCATTGCTCTTATCCATTGAATTAAATGTGTCCATTCTTTACTTTTCTCTACTGCTGGCCGACCCGTGACAATCTCCAATAGAACAATCCCAAAACTGTAAACATCACTTTTTTCAGACATTTGACTCGATGAGTAATACCTGCAAACAACATCACATATTATGTCATAAAGTTGATCCAGTAAATTTCAATTTTTTTGGTTTCCCGAGAAGAAAGTACATACTCGGGGTCAAGGTAACCTGGAGTTCCAACAACAATTGTTGATATGTGAGTATGATCCTCACTTAAAAAGGCTCTGGATAGCCCAAAATCAGCTAATTTTGCTTGGAAATTTTCATCCAGTAAGATGTTTGTGGTCTTCACATCTCTGTGGACTATTGGTGGCTTGCATCCATGATGCAAATATTCCAATCCTGCAAACCATCTAAATTAGAAATTACAGCTACAATAATGGTGATGTAGAAAAAACTGTATCCACTAAATAAATGACCTTGTGCTGCATCTATTGCAATTTTAAGCCTTTCCTCCCAACATAGAACATGGGGGTTCCTATCTGCGTAACCAAAAGATTATCCATAATTTAACAAACTCAAAGTTCAAAGAATAAATGTTCTTAATAAAGTTAGCAACGATGTATATAATTCACAATCGATTAATTAGGCAATACATACCTGTAAGATACTGTTCCAAGTTCCCGTTAGCCATGTATTCATAAATGATTCCAATGACATTGTTCTCATTGCAATATCCAACAAAGGAAGTCAAGTTTTTGTGGTGGACACTCAAAAGAAGTTTGGCCTGCAATTTATTGCCAGAATCAGAATGCCATGCTAGTATCAGAAATTTCTTTTTTTTCTCTCCTCT